CTAGCACAATGCTACATAGTCCTTGCATAGATTCAATTCACGGTGTACTAAATCTGCTCTTAGCTTGGGAGCCATAATGAAGGGTAAAGAGTTTCCCCCCAAAACACGGCACGAATCTGTCACAATCCAATGTACGGCGTACAACCGTCGAATGTAAACAAAGCTCTCTTTGCGCCGCTCGCCAACGAGTTTCTACGCAAATCTGTCACAATCCAATGTAGGGCGTACCACCGTCGAATGTAAACAAAGCTGTCTTTGCGCCGCTCGCCAACGAGTTTCTGAGCGAGATTTGTTTCGGTGCCGTACCTCGAAATGATGGAACAGGACTTTAATAAACGAATGGGGGATGGCGACATCAACAATGAAACGCAGCATTGAAACAGGACGTTTTTAATATTCTCAGGCATGTCGTCAGAGGGTCCTTGACGAGTGTTTTTACAAAGAGCTATTCTGCTCTGCAAACAAATAATCTGTCATCATCTGAATCCATTCAGCCTGGGACAAGAAAACTGGATTTTTGGAGGTTGACTCACTTGTTGTTTCCTGTGGTTGCCAAGAAAATAGGCAATCAACAAATTATGTATTTAGGTCAAAGAGAAACCTAGTGACAATATAAAAAAAAACAAAAAGCATTTTTATGTATTTAAAAAAATAAAAAATAAAAATGGTTTGGTTTTATTATTTATTGTTGGGAATGTCCACAGTAGTAGTCTGCGATTTGTGAATAGTGATTGGACAATCTTTGACTCGGGTTAGGAGCTGAGGATTCAAACCCAAGACGCTACATGTGCAGGCGAGATCCCTAACCTTGCATCGCGCTCCTTTGCTTTTTTCTTCTAAGAACGTGGCCTAATTTATTTCACAAATTGTTGGGATCTTTCCTCTGAGCTTCCTTTTGATGTTGACAGGACTGCACTATTACTGCTGTTTTGTCAGCTGCACGTTCATTCTGCCAATCTCCTCGCCAACACTTTCCGAAGCCAAAGTATTCAACAGGAGGTCGGAAAGCAACAGACAAACTTTGGTCGTCCAACTCTGCTCGAGGCACACTATATATATATATTCTGTTCAATTATTAGTGTGACCCATGAGTGAGCGATGAGTCCAAATGGGTTCAAATGTAAATTCTGATTTTATTTCTCAGTTTAATCAACCCAATTACCACGTTGATTTCAGCAGCCCTATTATATTAAATCTAAAAAGAAAAAATTAATTAAAGTTCAGCAGCCCTATTATAAATCTAAAAAGAAAAAATTAATTAAACATTTTATTAAAAAGACTTTAATAACCAGTTACACCTGGCGCCCATGTAATGTCAATAAAGGCCATCATTTATTCTATAATCCAGTCTTTAGGAGGAATTTGGAGCATCACTGTTTTACCTCCTTTCTCCTGACTGGATCGTCTGAAAAACATGTACTTGTGAACCGTCTACGCTGAACTGGTAAACAGTGACATCGTACTGTCACAGTGTAGCAGCAGCGTGGTCACTTTGGTTTCGCGGTAGCCACAGTCACAAACTGCATGTTAAATACAAACTCAAACTAAAATTAACGCTAAAACAATTCCTTATTGTTCCTTACAAGGTAAGGATATTGTAGGCTAACAGTATATCGATCACGTTCATTATAATAGCCGATGCTAACATTAATAGCATGTGTCGGGATGTTTTAAAACTATAAACCAATATCACCATTCCTGGACTCTCAGATTCTCAGGTTTAGATAAAACCACAGGATAAACATTTTAAAAGTCCACGTAACCAAAATGTCTGCAACACTGGGATAAGATTGTTTACTTTAACAATCGGTTGACAACACGGTGTAAACAAGAAGGGAGAAAAGAGACTGGGCCAGTGGTAAAAAAAAAACATTCAAAGTTTTCTAATGACTTGGTGGCAACTGTCCAGACACTGGGCCCACCCAATGGGAACTTGTTTATTTTTGGATTATTTGTTTTACTTTTATGTGAGGAACTCAAAAGACGTGCAGTCTACGAGTCTACCCAGACTGTGTTAAACTTTTTGACACGATATCAAGGCTGCTATTGAGCGTTTACATATGCGCGAAGCAAATTTTCGTGCACACTATATTGCTCGAAAATAACAGCTTTTAGTTATGATAAATGATGTTGTCGTGTCTTCCGGTTGTTAGCCTTTTCGCCTTGATCATGTTCAGCATGATGATGGTGTTGGATTAGGTTTATCGATTCAAAATACTGGCCTTATTCTTACATAACCTGTATTACAATAGCTTTCTCTGCTAACGACACGTTAGCTTCGACTGTGACTTTGAGCTTCCTCTTCTGTTCTCCGACACAGATCGCATGCGCAAAATGATCGGCTGCAAGATCGTAAATACATGCGTTGGTCGACCAATCAGCGCTCAGCGCCAAATATGTTGAAAATCAGTCGATTCCGATCACTGTGTGGTCAATCGGTGCATTTCTACCTTTAACTTGCTAACCTGCTAACTGGTAAAGCTTATAATTTATTCCACATGTAAAAATGTAAATAGACAAAGGCCTAGACCAAAAAAATAACATATTTGAAACTATTTAAGTTAGTATTAGACGAACAATACGTCCAGTGATCTCGTCCAGCGATCTCGTGTAACCTAATGTAGCATATCAAGATAATTGGGTTTAATTGCAAAACCCAAAGGGTTCTAGGGGTTTGTACCAATATCCCCTGGTTTAATTGAAGTAATGAGGGACACAGCTATTGGGGAAGTCCCTTTATTCTGCAATACTATTATTAGTGAGGCGGTCCAAATCTATTTTTCCCCCTTGTGTTTCTGCTGGCGGTCGTTTTTAGTGGAGTTCACTAAAAATTACGATCATGGTTTATACAGTTAGGTTTCTCCCACCTACACAAAGTATGTTTGGACTTCACCCAGAAGGACTATTGTGTTTTCGGTCACTACTTCTACCGAAGCCCTTTTCCTTGATTACTTAGCGTAGCTTGCCAGCAGAAGAACAGTTGTTCCAAACCAAACTTCTTTCTCTGACAATTATAGAGACCATTGTGGCTCCTGGAAACCAGTAGCAGCTGAAATCTTTCGCAGGCCTCTCCAGAACGGTGCCTCACGCTACAGAGCGTTTTTTTTCTCAACATCACTGCCTGAATTCTTTCGCATGGTGTGTGTGTGTGCCCTGCAGCTTTCTGTAAACACGACGTTTTAGTCAGATGTTATGAATTAATCTGCCTTACCAAAAGGTGTAACGAAGACAATTTTAGCTCCTCTCGACTTTTGTGGTAACGCTATATTTTACAATATTAGACCTGGTTAGAGACGCAAACGAGCAATAGAAAATAAACAGCTATAAAGATAGGCTATGTTTTTGATGAACATGTTTGATTTTTTGATTTTTTAGATTATTAATGTTGGCTGTTGTTTGAGCTCCTGTGTTGTGAAAAACTAGACTAGTTTTTTTTTTTTTTTTTAATAATCAATAAGCATCCATGCCCGAAAGTGACCTCAAAAAAGACATGTCACACACACACACACAGCTACTGTGTTTACAGAATTGTCGTGTGTGTGTCATTTTGTGGTTGTATTGTTGTTTCCGGCCCGGTCCCTCTGAGGTCAGCTCTCCAGACCACCACCATGTAAGGGAGTGAGAGAATCGTGAAAAAATCGTGTTCTTTCCACTGACTAGCTTCATACTCGAAGAGTTCATTGTTTACGTTTGACGTTGGCGCGTCCCACTTCCTCTGACTTAGTGTATTAAAGTCTTACACAATTCCATGACGTCAAAAAAAAAAAAAAAAGTCAAGTGAAATGATACATCGAAAAGGAATGGGCACCAATCTAATTAAAGTGCTGTGGTTCTTGTTTGGAAATTCACATATGTGCTGTTTGGAATGGTCTTAAAAAGACAGACGTGGGTCGCACATGGGCAAGAAAGTGGGATCTGGGCAAAAGATACACTGCATTATTGTTTATGATTAGCCATTCAGTCTTTTTGCAGAAAACTCCAATGTGAACTATATGATGGATGGATGGATGGATGGATGGATGGATGGATGGATAGATGGATGGATGATGGATGGATGGGTGGATTATAGATAGAGGGATAGATAGATGGATGGATGGATGAATGGATGGATGGATAGATGGATAGATGGATGGATGGATGGATGGACGAATGGATAGATAGATGGATGGGTGATAGATAGGTGGATGGATGGATAGATCGATAGATGGATAGATGGATGGATGATGGATCGATTGATAGATGGATAGATGGATGGATGATAGATAGATGGATAGATGGATGGATAGATGGATGATAGATGGATGGATAGATGATAGATAGGTGGATGGATAGATGGATGGATGGACGGATAGATGGATGGATCGATAGATGATAGATGGATGGATGGATTGATAGATGGATGGATGGATGGATAGATAGATGGATGGATCGATCGATAGATGGATGGATGGAGGGATAATTGGATGGATGGATGATAGTTGGATGGATAGATTGATGGATGGATAATTGGATGGATGGATGGATGGATGGATAGTTGGATGAATGGATGGATGGATAGTTGGATGGATGGATACTATATTGACCAAAAAATATTCCTACATATTTATATAACCATCTGAGCCAGATCTACGTAAATGAGACAGTTATATACAGTATATCACATAAAGAAATGCATATTGTTTGAACTAGAGCAGTATTAGGTCTTAAACTTTAATAAAGATCAAAAGTAATAATAATAGTAATATCAAGCAGAAAAGCTGCGAAAATCAGTTTCCCTCTCGTCTTTGTTGGAAACGAGAGGCCGACACGATGCCTCGGAATCGTTTTCAGTCCGTGGACCATGCAGCAGCACAGTGAGTTATTGTCTGGTACCATGACTGCATCAAACCAAAAACACTTTGAACACTTTACTTTGCCCCGACTGATATGGTGTGTGTGTGTGTGTGTGTGTAAGCTGTTGTGTTCACATAAAGACAGTTTTGTTTCCGAGGGGAACTTACGCTTGGTGCACCGCTGCGACCCCTGAGCTTTGCTCCATCCATGACAGCACTGCCCTCCACAGACGTTCACCCTGAAGACAGAAAAATCAAGCACAGGCATATGAAACGAGCAGACACACAATCATTAGAAGAAAAAAAAACAAAACAGCTACGGCCCTGGCTCCGCTCCTGCTCCGTATCACAAACTCTCAGTGAGCGTGTACTTAAGGAACCCAACAGAAACTGCAGCACAGAACATTCACTTTGCTTTTGGCTCTTTCACCACTCGAGACATGTTATTTCAATTAGGCCACACATTAGATGACGAATAGTTATCTCTATATTCGGACGCCAGAACTTCAGATTTTTACACGGGAGCCTGTTTCTGAATATATTTGAGGTTACAAACAGGCCACGTCACTTTTGATTTGGGGTCCGCAACACACACACACACCTACTGTAGTTTCAAGTGTTTTCCCCTGGGTTCCGGAAATTTGAGGCAGGTCACGTCAGCATCTGAATGTTCTACCATAGTTATCTGATGTTTTGGCTTCCACCAATTCTCACCGGATATTTTTCAGACTTGAACGCGATCCCAAACACAGAGCTCTTGAGATGTGGTTTGGCCATGTGTGATACTTAAAATGAGTGGGGAGGAAGAAATGTTCTGTGATACCAAAGTTGCTGAGGTTTAGTGTTTATTAGAGTAGTTAGATTTGGGGGAAGCAAAAGAAAAAAAAAAAAAAAAAAAGGCACACTTAGTTTGACCAAAAAAACTTTGTGTTGGATCAAGGTCTGCGCCTAATGAGCTTCTTAGAAGCTGAGACTAAATTGCAAGCCTTCGTTTGAGTTAAACAGACTATTATGACTGTTACGACTAAATAAGGATGGGAACAAACCTAAAACAAAATAATACATTTCATTCTAATTATAAAATATGGCTTCCTTCTGTGACTCATAAATGCATTTTCATCTGGACAACACTCAAAAAACATAGATTGAACGGTGTGCGTCATTACATCCCAATGAAGGAAATCTCGACTCTCAAACCATACCGTAAGTAGAGTTAGTAACTAACCGTGTCACTTTTACATCTTTACTATTTTTACATCACCACTGGTAGTAGTCAGTGAGAATACCTTAGTGAGGGCCAACGGTATTTGAAATTTCTAGCCAACCACGTGTAGCCAACCACGTGTGCCCAGTTGTACAAAGAGCTTGAAACTAGCGATGGCCCGATTCGATATTTAGGATCAGTATGAGTCTGATATTGGTCAAAATTTCGAGATCGAACATCAAAATAACAACAATAGCCCGTACGATCCAATTCCAAAGTCCAGATTTTTAACTTGCAACATGCTGTAACCAGGGACATGATAGCCTCGGCAAAGGCAGCATGCTGGAGGAGAAAAGAAGGGATCGGATTGATATCGGTATCGGCAGATACTTTAACTTACAGTATCAGTAACGGACATGAAAAAGCACTAGTTTGATCCGAAACTTCCATGTCAATCATCTGTCAATCATCAAAAGTCTGGCACAATTTTACACCAAATGCCCTTCTTGACACAAGGCATGATGGGAATCGATGGTTGTGGAACCCGTAAGTCATCTAAGTTGGAAACGTGAGCAATAAGTGGCACCAGCCCAAATGTTCTCAACATGAAAACAAGCACAAAACACGTCAGTCAACACCTGGTCCTTTTTGCTAATTTGGTCACGAGATAAGACTTGACACAACACAACAACACCTCACTGTCCAACCGATTGAAGTATTTTCACACATCAAAACATCCTGTTGGCTCACAAGCTTGCTAGTGGATCACGCAGCGTTGGAGGAACTGCGTTATTCTACTGCAACCGTAAGGTTCTACAGTTAGCATCCATACAGAGCCAAAAATGTCCGCTCTACCATTTTCGATTACAACTTTTGCCTAGGTAAAAGGTGATACTTCCACCAAATGAGAATAACCAGGAGTTCATGTAGTCATAGTCAAGTCATTTGTCAGTTGTATCTTCTATCTCAAGGTCTGCAATATCTTTGAAGGGGGGAGGATTTAGCAGAAACGTCTCGTGTTGGTTCCAGTCTACTCTGTTGACTTTAGATGTCATTAATTCTTACATGATGGAACATTAGAGGTAAATTGTCTGTAAAATGGAGGTATTTACAGGAGAGTTCAATGTGATTAGTTATGCAGCACTATTTGTCATATCATGGTTCTAATGCATCTTGAGCCCACAGAGCCAGTCTCAGTGAAAACATGGCTTCTGGTAGTGGAAAAATTATAATGACGCTAATTGTACCACGGGGTGAAAACGTAAGCAAAGAATTTTTACACAACCTCATGAATGTGTCAGTCGCGCCGTTGCGCTACGAACCCAAAGTCCATACAGAAAATTGTCAACTTTAAATATTGTGTATATATACTGTATATATATATATTAAATTTTCAAAATGAAACATTGACAGATTATCTTTGAATGATACAAGTAAAGAAGACTGAATACTTTTCGAATGAAGTAAATTAGTAAACCTGAAGTAGATTTTGCCCAACTGCAGCCCAGTACCGAATGACCTACAGACCGGCACCAGCCCCCGGACCAGAAGTTGGACACCCCCGCTTTACCTGAGAATTTCCTTAGGTCATCTAACCCAGTGTTTCCCCAAACTTTTTTTCTGGGGACCCATATTTTAAAAGTCACAAACCTTTGCGACCCAAGTCAACAGACATTATTCGAGACGACCCCCCCAAAAAAAAAAAACTCTTGCGACCCACCTGAGGGTCGTGACCCAGTCTTTGGGAAACAATGATCTAAACAATGGTGGCAACACTCCTGCCTTATCTGAAAGAACCATAAAGATGGTAACTACGGAAACTTGTCAGAGGTCAAAAATAACCTTTTAACCTTTCTCCAAAATAACTTAACAAATATGACGATAACTCACGCTGATGGGAAATCATCACTGCTGTGATCTGGGATGAGAAAAGTGTGATCGGGTGTTTACGTATTTGTGGTGCTCTGGTATGAGTGGAACCTCACAACAAAGCTATATATACAGTACATGTGTGCGTATTTACATTGGATACAGTACATTGTGTACACGGCCAGTAACTTAAGCAAAGAATTTCTACACAACCTCATCGGAAGATGATTTATGAATGTGTCGGTCGCTCCGTTGCGCTACGAACCCAAAGTCCATACAGAAAATTGTCAACTTTAAATATTGTGTATATATACTGTATATATATATATTAAATTTTCAAAATGAAACATTGACAGATTATCTTTGAATGATACAAGTAAAGAAGACTGAATACTTTTCGAATGAAGTAAATTAGTAAACCTGAAGTAGATTTTGCCCAACTGCAGCCCAGTACCGAATGACCTACAGACCGGCACCAGCCCCCGGACCAGAAGTTGGACACCCCCGCTTTACCTGAGAATTTCCTTAGGTCATCTAACCCAGTGTTTCCCCAAACTTTTTTTCTGGGCACCCATATTTTAAAAGTCACAAACCTTTGCGACCCAAGTCAACAGACATTATTCGAGACGACCCCCCCAAAAAAAAAAACTCTTGCGACCCACCTGAGGGTCGTGACCCAGTCTTTGGGAAACAATGATCTAAACAATGGTGGCAACACTCCTGCCTTATCTGAAAGAACCATAAAGATGGTAACTACGGAAACTTGTCAGAGGTCAAAAATAACCTTTTAACCTTTCTCCAAAATAACTTAACAAATATGACGATAACTCACGCTGATGGGAAATCATCACTGCTGTGATCTGGGATGAGAAAAGTGTGATCGGGTGTTTACGTATTTGTGGTGCTCTGGTATGAGTGGAACCTCACAACAAAGCTATATATACAGTACATGTGTGCGTATTTACATTGGATACAGTACATTGTGTACACGGCCAGTACTTCAAACAAACAAATGCAGTGATGTTTTCTTTTACTACATCACCACGTGCAGTGAGACAGACAGATGTCTTCAGCATAATTCTAAAAGTAGTCTTAGAGCTATGTGTGTGTTTGTGTGTGTTACCATACACAAGAGCATCACTGTCACTGATCACACTGCAACATCAAACCCCAGATCAGAGGCATTGAAGCGGCAGGTGAGGGTATAGTAGGGGGGTAAATACCACAGGGACTCCAACTACACTGAAGTCTTCTCAAGATAGTCTTAAAGAATGTATACTTTAAGTATGTGGTGTCTGCTAGGTTTATGTTCAAACTGACAGGAAGTCATTTTTTGACTTTTTTTTTTCTTCCTTTCTTACCCTGAAAGTTTCATGTGCTGCTGCTGTTGCTGTTGCTGTTGTTGCTGACTAAAGTGGGGCACTGGAAGCGGAGCTGCCTGGTTCCCCATCCTGCGGGTCCGGATCTGCCCACGGTAGTTGGCTTTCAGCTCCACGTTGTACGTGTGCGGCTGCCCCGCTGCGCCGTGACGCGTGGAGATGGAGCTGACACGCACCGCGCCGTCCGCTCCGGCAGAACCGGAGCCCGGCCCTGGACCGCGCTGCAGGACGTACAGCTTCCTCAAGCCGCTGTGGCCCTGCTGCTGCTGCTGCTGCTGCTGTTCTACGGACACACACGCCGGGGTGAGCAGAGCACCCAGGAGAAAAAAGAGGCCCCATTCCATCCAAGCCATGTCTGCGGCGAAAAGGGAGTCAAGTTTGGGAGTGAGTGGGGGAGTAAGGGAGGGGTGTCCAGGTTAATTTCGTGCTGCGTTAAAAAAAAAAAAAAGAAAAAAAAAGAGAAAAAAAAAATCACTTCTCTTTAGCGAAAAAAAGGTTGTGTACCCCTGAGCATACTCGTGTAGGTGTCGACCAACAAGAGAGAAAATACGCGAACGTTACCCACAAAAACGAAAAGCTGACTTAAGTGAGTTAAAAGTTTGAAATAAATAAGGACATGTCACGAAAAAAAAAAGCCCCAAAAACTTCCTCGGTCAACTAAAGTTGCGTGTTGTGGCTCCGGTTTTCTGTCTTCCTGTAGCGCCACAGAGTTCCAGACTGCCGCGTCCTGCCCGCGGCCGATGACTGAAGTCTCTGCTCGGTCTCGGAGCCTGAGAACTCCAGGAAAGTTTCTCCGCTGGAGGTGAACGGTGTCAGCGACGGAGAGAGCAGCCTGCCTCCAGACGTGACGTCAGCACCGAGGGAGGAGAGGGGGAGGCTAACCCTGACAACTGGGAGGGGCGGTGTGAGGGGCGGAGGGGGTTCCTGAGAACCAGCCGCCCACACACACACGCACGCTCGTACTAATGGGTGAGTTGACACATCTCACACCGAGCAGCTCCTCTGTACACACACACTCATTTCTGTTTATTTCTACGACGTGCTAGCCAAACGTTAGCAACACACCGTAATTCTATTTTCGTCCCCCACGCCCCCACATGGACTTCCCAAAAATTGCTTCAAAATTCCGATACACTTGATTTTTAAACAACTGATTCCTAGAAATGTGATGTTCTCATTGGACGAATGAAACAGAATTAAGAAACAGTGTCACTTTTTGATTTAATACCGACTCTGCCAAGACCACCTATGGAAAACTGCTGACCAGACACTGGTCTCTTTTCTTGTCCCCTGACCTTTGACCTCTGAGCTGCCAACTACATGAGAAAGGGCACGAGTCAAGAACATAGGCTAGAAAAATAATAATGTATACCACCATAGTTTTTTTTTAAGTACTGCTATTTGGACTAAAGTACTTTGCAGTAAAACTCATTGTAAATACTCGTTCATAAAAATAGTTTTAGAAGTACCTTGTCTATTTCTGCCAGTTCATTTCTGCACTGGTTGACTGGGGCACCGCAGCAGTCTTAGGCCCACCCAGGCTGCTCTCATTGGTTGACACCAGTCAGTGATGTCAGTGTCAAGCCATTACACGCAGTAACATCCCAGTAACGTGTGACCTATGACCTAGAAAAGAAATCAAGAATGACTTCAGAAATGTAATAGAAAAAAAATAGATATAAACAAATATTTTGAAAATACAAAATAATAATAATTAAAAAAAAAACATTTTATATCATTGTTATAAGAGTGTCGGGCCACTAATCGTAGGAGCAGGACTGGAAGTGAGGCCTCGCTTTAGATCAGGGGTGTCAAACTTAAATTAGTTCAGAGGCCCACATACACATACAACCTAATTTGATGTCAAGTGGGCCGGACCAGTACGATCATAACATGATATAAACACATAAATAACAACAAGTCCATGTTTTCCCACTTTGGTTTCCTACAAATAAGTACAAGTATATTGATACATTCATTTTTTTTCATTTATGTTTTAATGCAAAAAAAACACATCAGAAAAAAAATCTACATATGTAATAAAATATATATATATTTTTTTTACAAAACATATCCCGAACATAAAATGTTTGTGTTTTTTTTTTTCAAAATTCATCAAGTGGGCCGGATTGAGACCCCCTAGTGGGCCGGTTTTGGCCCACGGGCCGTATGTTTGAGATCCCTGATTTAGATGATAGAAAGAGGCAAAAAGAGCGATAAAGTGACATGTAAAATGACCAAGCGAGGGACAGTGAGCGAGACAGCGTAACAGTTGCTTACCCGCAACTTGGAAAACTCGTATTTTCGGCAGCTGGTATCGCAAGGCTGTAATGGTCAGTATCCGCTTCCATGATCCAAATCCAGGCGGTAACCTTGTAAAGACAGAGAATGACACTTTTGTTGCATAGTGTAAAAAAAAAACTTGTTTGATAGTGAGAGAGAGAGAGAGAGCTGGAGGGTAGAGGTCCAGACGTTGACACAGATCGTGTCCTGTACAGTGTGTTAGACAGAACAACAGCAGACACACATCTGTTGTCCATACACTCGTTGCACAGGAACAACCAGGTGCGTGGCTGCTAGTCCAGGTGTCCGTCTGAGTCTCAGGAAATACGACTTTATAGGAATTCTTTACCCGCACACGTGGACCACAAACAGAGCTGGACTCAAAGTGTCAGACCTGTAAACTGTGCGTACGGCTTGAATTAAAGTATTAATCGTAAAGTATGACTACGTGACGTGATATCATTACCACAGGCGGTCGATCGCCATATTTAGTTCTATAAAAACTCCAACACCATCGTATAGTTACAATCACATGGAAATTATGAGAGTCGACTCTACTGAAGATTGATGTCAGATCCTGCAGGTAGTTTTCAGAATGTTTTCGAGAGCAGTTTCTGCACCGACCAGATAATTAGTTTAAGGTCTATCTACCATAAGTGAGTGAGTGAGTTAACCAAACCATGCATGTTATTGTAGTTTATAAATAATCACGATCGACTGCGATCACGATTAGTCAGGAATAATCCACAGCTACCGTGTGATTTTTCCTAATTTTACATTTTAATTCATCAACTATCCTAACTATATAAAAAGTTACTTTTATTTATATACATTAAATATAGCTGAAAATATTCAGTGGTTTTGACTTGTTCACACACGCTATATCATATATATATACTGTATATGTATATATATGTGTCTAGCATCCTGCAATTTCCGGTACCGATACTTTGTGATTTTTTTCAAACCCATGACAAATACTGACCTTTTGACAACTTTAATATATATTTTTCATAACATATATGTCATAACAAATTGCATTAGCCTAATTTTACACAGAGTAACATATAGTGTTTAACTGCCACCATGTGGACTGGATCACGTGGAGTCACTGCTCTCTTCTGGTCAGTGGTCACATGACATGAACGGATCAGTTCCATTTTACATTGCTAGGGGGCGTTGCAGCACGAACGCCTGTTTGTAGTAGGTTAAAAAAAAAATCATGCACTTTTTCCACTTTTATGTATTAGCATTGATAGGTAATGAGAACATCACACTCATCTTTATGTCTTTAACCTTTGGTACAGACATTGTCACAGTTAGTGAAACTCAAGATCAGGATGGATCCAAATGCAGC